TGGCAGGGTGAAAAACTTCTGATTGTGCAAGGATCCCCCTTCATCTTGCACAGATTAAGACCAACCTAATAGTCATCACCTATCAATTGGAGGCAAGAGAGGATACTGATATGAACTGCTGCGCTGGCACAACACAGCAACAGTCTCAAACAGTCCTTCCAGGTGTGGTCATGCCACATCTCCATGTGGTGGTGAGCCTGCAAAAAGGATGGAGGAACTGCCCTGGGTGCCAGCAGTAGGGGTGTATAGGGTAAGAAGCCAGTGCTGTTACCCCTGCACACTTGGGTGCTGCAAGCTGGAGTTAGCACAGCAGTAAGAACATGTGACTCACTCAAGGGTGAGTGGTGACCACTGGTGGCCCAGAGTCCTAAATTCCTCCTGTGTCTAGGAGATGTTTATATTATCAAAATCAATGTGCAACACCATTTCATTGACCCCTCTCACATGATCCCACAAAAGAAATACAACAGCCCAGGACAACAATCCACTTACCAGATTATTCTGCTGGAACCAAAGACCCAGGATACCCCATTAGTGCAAGTCAGAACTCTTTCAAGGAGCTGAACATGGTGGTGCATGTCCGTAATCCCAGTACCTAGTAGGCTGAGGCAGGAAGATTGTGAGTCCAAGAACAGCCTGGACTACATAGTGTGGCACTGTTTCAAAGAAACAAATAAAAGTATTTCAAAGCATCTTGCTGGCCCACATGGGAAGGGAAGCGGTGCTCTAAGGAGAAATGGAGCCCAGGAGCACACAGGTCCTAGCCCAAGATCAGGGTGCCATACCCCAATAGTGCTGCTGTCCCAGCCAGTTCCAGACACCATGCAGTGTTCCTGGGTAGAAGGTACTTGAAAGTATAGAGGAACCCTGGGCTGGAGGAGTGACTCAAATGGTAGAGTACCTGTCTTGCAGAGGTGAGGCCCTGAGTTCAAATCTTAATACTGCAAAAAAAAAACAAAAACAAAAACAAAGAAAGTATAGGGGAACCCTGAGGCACCAGGCCTGAGCACCTACTTGCTCAGGCCTAAGAATTACACTGGTCCCAAGAGTGTAAATTTGATTGTTTATACATATACGTATATGTGTATATATATAGTTGTTATCCAAGAGATGAGATTTAAGAGGGTCTAGAAGGTCTACAAGATCCTGCATATCCATAGTCTAGAAAACACACCTGAAACTCAGATCTGTGCTGATGGGTTATACTTTGTATCACAGTGCCGCCTCTGGAAGGACCCCGTGAAAGTGCTCACATGCACTCTGTGAGCACGTGATGTCACCCCATCGCCAGCAAGTGCAGCTGCCATCCACGTGCCCTGTTGTGGCCATTTAATCTCACAGAATCATCACAGCACTATAAAGTGGATACTATGGTTATCTCACTTTACATAGAAGGACCAAGGGCAGCTACCAGGTTCACAACTGCTTTAAGAAGCAGATACAATCCTATGTCTGATTCCCAAGAGCTGGTTCTTTCCACCTATGGCACATGGAATCAGAGTAGTTGATGATCTGAGCAGATTATTTTACAATCTTAACGAGATGTCAGTTTTCAAGGCAGGCCCAGTGATAACGCTATCAGATAAAGAAGCCAGGTGAAAGCTTAGAAAAGTCTAGAGCAATCTTTCCCACCTGGAAACATTAGTTCTAGAAAATGTTAGTAATGATTAAGAGGGGGGAATTGCTTTATAGGAATAAGGAAGGAAATGTCAAATACAATCTCCATTGTTAGTGATTCATAAAACATACTAACATTAAAGGTGTGAGAAGCTCTTCAGAAAAGAATCTGTTTAACTGTGTTCAACTGCAGAGCTCCCAAATCATTTCAGTATCTCTGCAGCATCTTTGAAACGTGAACTTACTGGGCAAATGTCACAGTGGGCAGTGATGCTGGAGATGCTCAGACCCCACCCGATCCCGGCCCCGGCTCACACTGATTGAATCAATATTGCTAGAAGAGGGCCTTTGGAATTGCACTGGTATTTTTAAAGTTCTTTGGTGATTCTAATGAGCACCCAAGGTCGAGAGAAACTTGTACAGAGTTCTGAACACAATATTTGAGTGGTTCCTCCCTCCCACCACTTGTAACATACTCAGTACTCCATTACCCAACAGGCAGTCAGTACACATGTCAGAGCAAAGCATGAGCCAAAAAGAGAGGGAGAGAATCATAATGAGAACAAAAGCAAGAAGCCAGGTGTCATGGAGCGTGCCTGTAGTCCCAGCAACTCAGGAGGTTGAAGCAGGAGGACAGCTTGAACCCAAGAGTACAAGACCAGCATGAGCAAAAGCAAGAACCCCATCTCAAAAAGAAAAAGTGAGCAAGAGATTGATTTTGGAAAAGTTTTATACCTCATATTTCTAAGAGGTTAAAGGGGTCATTCTGGTAAAAATCCAAATTTTATTGAACGTTCTTAAACATCTATTGGGGCTTAGTTGGTCAGGGGAGGGGGTGTACATGGTCTCCTTATGTAACCCTGGCCTCATCCCCCTGCCTTAGCCTCCCAAGTGCTGGGATTACAAGTGTGTAACACTATGCACAGCCCTTGTGATTTTTTTTAAAATTCTGAATTCATATCAAAATGTGTCCATAAATCATGCAGACTATCATATCCTGAAAAGATCAGACCTGCAACCTGCTTACTCCACCTTTCATGTTCCTGTAATATTATTGTAATAACCTATAGTACATGTGTTCTTTGCAGGAGAACTCATCTTTTCAGTGAAGTACCATAAACAAAGATAATAAGTAACCTCACATTGAGCCAGGTGGCACATAAAAATGAGTTTCAAAGTTTCAAAGCCACTTTGAAAAAACCTTGGTTTTTAGGATTTAGGGACTTAGGAACTGTGGCTATGGAACCAGGAACTTTTTTATGAGCTGAAGCTGAAGCTGTAAAGATGCAGCTCCATGGGACTTTAAACAATGGGGAAGTCTTGTGAAAGAGGCAGAATTTGAGCTGTGATGACTTATTTTCTGCCTCAGGAGGTGAGAGGTGTCTGTCCTCAAAGACTTGAGGTGGCTATGGAAGCTGCACTTTCCTGCTCAAGCCACCAGGAGCCTGTAGAGGACTTTGTTTTCCTGAGCCATCTCTGCAACCAGTTTGGAGACCTGTCTAGAGTGGAGACTGGATGGGGGAGCTAGGCAAAATCTGAACAGTGTGAGAACTGAAGAGAACCTGTGAGAGGAAGCTGTCATGAGACCCCTGGCTATTTCCTATTTCTTTATAGTTCCTTATATAGTTCACAGTATGCAATGACTACTAACTTTTGGTTAAGATGAAGCCACACTCAGAAACCTTTCACATTCATTGCTGATCTGAATGCCCTGGCTTTAGATACCAGATAAATTCCTACTGTGGCTGGTTTTCTCTGATACCTTTCTCATTTCTTCTTACCACATTTCATGTTTTCTCCTTTGCCTTAGATAATCTTTGTCTCTTCCCTATCCATTAGGTTAGGAGTCTGCCCTGGATGGGTCAGAACCTCCCCTACTCTTCGCCCACTCCTCTGTCCATTTCTGAAGTGTCAGCTGAGAATCCAGAGGCTGCACTGCCTGCTCAGCAGCGTTTTTTTACAAGTCATTGCCAGGAGAGGTGAGTCAGAGGGAGATTGGGTGGATACAAGACTCAGCACATGCAAATAATTGCCTTCCTGAAAGAACAGGAAGGATAAAGGAAACGGGAAATTATGGGGGGGTTAGGGAGGGAGGCAGGACAATAAAAGCCAGATCTGAGTAAATGTAACTCTTTCTTTTCTCTGCATCCCAGGTATACAATTTCCTCGACTCTTGGATCTCATATGATTTGGAGGCTGAAGGTAAATAAGGCAATCCGTTCCTCATGACCATATTCGAGGATGACCCTCAAACAAGTCTAACCATACTGAGTCTTGATAAGTTTTAACTTAGAGGAAGTAGGCGGAGGGCAGCCATGCATCCTCTGTTCAACCCCAGAACTTTCCCCTCCATAAGTACCAGTACCTTCCCTGTTAAAATTATTCTTTCATCAACTTCCTTGTTCTTTGGAGCAAGAAGGTGAGGCGCTGAAAGAGAACAAGACTCCCTCACATGTCTTCATTCCTCTTTTGTGCTGTGTTAATGTGAGATCGAGTCTGTCTAGCCTAACTTGGGAAATGGCTCTGTCTCTCACTCCTTAGCCACATTCCCTCCAACTCCCTATGCCAGACTCTGACTCCGAGACCAACACCTGTACCTGGCATAGCTTAAGAAACCAGTGTCGACTGAATCTCTAACGAGATCCAGAGAAAGAAAGGAGGGCCCAAAAAGAAAGAGAAAAGGGGGACAGGGGAAAGAAAAGAGAAAAGAAGCAAAGGAAAAAGAAGGAGAAAGCAGCAAAGCAAAGAGCCAGGTAGTGAAGATGGGAGGAAAAGCACGTGTTCTGTCTTGGTCTACACCCCACATCACCTTATCACCAGATCTCTATACCTGGGCATTACATTTTTCTAGGCTTGGGGGAAGAGCCAGTGGCTTACCAGAGGCAGTCACAGATAGAATCACTTTAATTGCATTGACAGAGGAGAAGTGCAATCGTGCAAACCCTAGGAGTCTTATGTGATTGCCATAGAAGCTCAGTGTGGGTAAAAGGAAAGGAGATGGGTGAAGGATGCATTAAACTCTTCAAATCCAAACCCAAAGAGAAACTCAGACCAGGGAGTCAACTGATGAGCAAGGCCATGGAAGAAGCTAGAGCAGCTCTTGGCTTATCTGTTTCCAGGGCAGGGGTTGGAGAGGGGAGATAGAGAACCCAGACACACTAGGGATCAGTATTCTATTCTGCCACCTCTGATCTCAGAAACCAAATGCAAGTTGGGTGAGAGGTAAAGAAGTGCACATTCAGAAACAATGATAAAGAACAGTTCATCTTCTCTTCCCGAACTTTCTCTGCAGTGTACCTGAGGGGAGACCAGCAACATGAGAAAGTGGAAGTCAAACAGGAAAGGGAAGAAAACGGGGAAGAGAAAGAAGAAGATGAGTTGCTTCATTGTACAGATGATAACTGGACCTTTCTGTCCTTACATGTTATAATAATGACCTTTTCCATGATGAAAGTTACGTAACTGCAGTTAGGAGTAATTTGGTGTGGTTTGGACAACTTGCAGAATGTCAAATCAAAAGGACGGGGGCTTTTGTGACATCTGACCCCCTTGAGGTCACAGGCCACGACAGGACTGTCGCAGACAGCACTGACTGTGCTTGGATCCTCGTGGATGAATATGTATTGGGTTATGCAGCTGTGATTGTGCTCCTTCATCTTGTCGGCCATCATGACGTTGCATTCCCTGTCATTCAAGTCAAACCTAAGATAGTCTTCGTTGCTCTGAGAGCGAGACTCGGCTCTGAGCATCCTGCTCCCCCCAACTTCATCTTCACTGAGGATGGTCTCTTCTTGCCAGCCAAGTTGCACTGTTTCTTTGTTGCTGAGCACCAGGGCTTCTGTGGTTCTGGTGCTCTGTCCCTCTTCAGTGGTCTCAGCTTTGTCTTGTGAGTCACTGGACCAAAACTCGTTCAGCAGCTGATCGCTATCCTCCAGGACTGCAGCAGCCATCTGAAGGCCCAGCCCCAGGCCCAGCCCCAGGCCCAGCAGCAGCAGCAGCAGCATGAAAAAGACCTGTACCAGAGTCACCTTCATTTTACCTGGAGCGGAGGGAAATGGGAAGGACATGGTGTTGAGATGAAAACTAGCTCCAGTAGAAACCGCAGTCTCTCTGAACCCTCAGCATATACTTTGGGGTCTCCTCGATTCTCCACATTACTCCACCCTCCTTAGGCCATGACCTTTTGTCTTTCTTTCCTCATTTCTCCTGTTCCCTCCCTGCCACATGGGACCAATGTTGTATAATAAGGTGTGAATGCTAGAGATAGGGAAGATGACTAGGGAAGCAGTTCTGAAATTGGTTTACATATGAGGAATCAGTGAGGAAAGGTAACACCAATTGATTCTTAAACAGAAACTATTTCTAAATCACCAGAGAGAATAGTTAAGAAGACAAGAGTACGAAGAACCTCTTGTAGAAAGACACTTTCTCAGCAAAGGACTAAAATTATAAGAGGGAACCATAGATCTATTTTTATCCCATATTTTCTTTTACTCACTGATATTATACTCCTCACATAAAAAGATAAAATGAATAGAAAAAGTGTTGGAATCTATTCTCATCCCTACACTGAAGCTGGATGTCCAATTTCACATTGAAGGCCCCTAAGGAAGATACATCTTGTCATTCCAGATTCCTTCCCCTACTAAAGACCTCGCAGAAGCTAAGAACTTGTGTGGATTACTTTTGTACTCCCAGGGAAAAAACGCAGTAAGAAGAAAACCAAACTGCTGGGGCTTCCCTTACTAATAAAGGGACATTCCCATCTAGTGATGAGGTTGTCTCTGGAACAGCACTTGCCTAGCATGCACAAGGCCCTGGGTTTGATCCCCAACACTGGAAAAAACATCCTAGTAAGAGCTGAGACAATGTCTTTGCCTGGCTATGCTGGCCTCAGCCTCAACCCCTTATCAAACAGAGACCTATCTATGGGGGGAAAGGGGGAATGTTATAAAGAACATTACTAAGACAATTGATAAAATTAGAATACAGTCTACAGAGTAGCGTGGAAAAGTATTGTATCAGTGGTTGACATACAAAATTTTTAAATTGTACTCTGATTAAGAGAATATCCTTGCTGGCAGAGTGGCTCAAGTGGTAGAGCACCTGCTTGGCAAGTGTGAGGCCCTGAGTACAAACCCCAGTATTGCCCCCCCCCAAAAAAAGGGCACATTGAAATTGACATATTAAGGAGCATAATGTATGCAACCTACTCTCAATATAGAATATAGATGTATGAACAAGTGCATGTTTACAGGGAAAGAAGAAAATAATACACTTGAGGAAAATAATTTTAAATGATATATCTGGATAAACAGCATTCAGGACTTCCTTATTCTTATTGTAACTTTTCTACAAAATTCAAAATATTTCAATTTTTATTTTTATTTTTGAAAAGAGAATCGCCCATGTTGTTGCCTGGAGCACCCAACTCCACTGTGACTTACCTACACACCTAAACAGCTTCAGGAACTCTTTTATCTTCCTGTTGCCCAACTTCTTTCCTCCTGGGGTCTTCTCCTCTGTGAGTAGTGCCCTGATGCTGATCTGCATAAAAATGATCCTCGCCCGTGGTCCATGTGCTCTTAAACACAGCCTGACTTCCTAAGCCCTCCTCCCTCTTCCCCTACGCAGCACTGAATAAACACTCTCAGCCAGTATGCCTTTTATGCCCCCACAAACACTTTGAAGTAAGTCTATTTGGGCAATAAAACAGATCCAGACATCCAAAACAGGAAATGTCTCCAGGATGGGAAACTGCAGACAATTTTATTTCACCAATCAATTGCTCCACTCTGCAGTTATACCCACTAGCCTGTGGTCCACAGCAATTGAATTTGGCATAAATTTCAAAGCCAATCATTTCATGTTCTCTCTATGTACCTCCTTGAACCCTTTCTTGTAATTTCTGCAATAGTAAGATTTTTATCCTTTGGGACATCTCTCCAATATAGTTGTTTTGCTTTTCACATTTTACAACTGTGAAATTGTAGATTTCATTGAACTTTTTCTTGAACTTATTGAAGATTTGGAGTATTTGACTTAACCATTATCCCACCTTCCACTCTCCACTTCCCATTTCCATCCTCTAACTAATAATCACATGCCCTTAAGAGCATCCAAATTTTGCAAATCCAAGTATTTATCCCTAGATAAGAGATTATCCAAAGAAGCACTGTGGTTATCAATCTCCATGGCTTGGGTGAATAAAACCCAGGTTACAATGTTGATGTGAAGGTTTACTTCTTCAGCACAGGTTGACATCATGAGATAATATCTATGTAAAGACATTCTGAAGATTAATGAAACACTATAAAAATTCTCTCTGGACCTAAACAAGGGCTCTTTGGAAGAGGTTTGTTTTAGTCATTCAGGCAGGGCTTTCTAAATGGGCTGGAAAGCTATTTTGGTAAGGTCTGGTGGACTATCTGCAGTGCTGACGTTTATGATTTACAAGGGCAACAACTAACCTGTATTGACCATGTTGTGCGAGGCACCTGCCACTTCCACCCTCAGTTTGCTAAGCTGCCCATCTTTGGTGTTCACTCTACCCAGTCACTCTGGTGAGGTCTCTCTGTCACATGGAGAGGAAATCAAGAATCATCCTCTAAACCCAGAAGCAGCCTAGGGTTGGCAGGGAGAATACGTTCTACACAGGCATCTCCTGCTTCTTCCTTAATGGGTGTCTTAGTTACTGCTGGAGATCATTTGAAACTTACCTTTGAACATAAAGAAGGCCCTAAGTCTGTGGTCTAAGCAAAACCTTTAGACTGATCAGACTTTTATTTCTGTTTCTCACTTTTCTAGGCTACACTTTTCTCATCTTCTAAACTTGGAAAATAGTACTACTTACCACATGGAACTGTTTGAGTATTACAGAAGACAGTGTTGTTGTTCCCCCTGCTGCACAGCAGACATAGACTCATGCTCAATGCACTTTCAGGTTTAGAAACAGCACACATTAAAGACTGCACTGCCAGCGGCTGCTCACTGCTGTCAAACAGTATCCTAGACTCTCAGAGGGGAAATTCAGCCTCATATAGACTGACTCTTCATTTTACAAATAAAGTAGTTCAAAGAGAAAGAATGGAAGTTCTGATAATAGAAATCCTGACTTCTAGATAAGTAAAATAAATAGTTGATTGATTAATCAATTGATTGATTAGATAGCTATACAAAGGTAGAACAGATCTCTTGATTACAACATTTATAATCCATCTAAGACTTAGATTTTTTAATGTAAGTGCTATCTTTCACTGTAAACCAATCCTTCATTAAGGGAATGATTAAGCAACTGTATCACAGAATAATATTCAGCAAAAAAAAGGAATGAACTATTTTTTTTTTCTCTTAGGTGGTGGTGGACCTGGAGGCCGGAGCTCTAAGACTTGAGCCACCCCGCCAGCCGAGGAATGAACTACTGATATGTGAAACAATCTAGATGGATCTCAAGGGTATATGCTGAGTGAAAAAAATTAATATGTCATTTAAATAACATGGAGAACAGATTGGTGGTTGCCAGTGGTAGGGGTGGGGATTTAGATGTGACTATAAAGAATTTTACAAAGGAGATCTTTGTGGTTATGGAATAGATATGTATCTTCTCTTTAGTTTTTGTTTTTGCAGTGCTAGGAATGGAACTCAGGGCTTTGCACGACAGTCAATCACTGTACTCCTGAGCTACACCCCCCTCTCTTGATTGAATAGCAGTCAAATGATCAACACATGTACTAAAATCTCTCCACACACACACACACACACACACTTATACACATACACACATATACATGCATGCACACATATACCTACATACACACAAATACACATATACACACATACACACATATACACACTGTGCTATCAATTTCTTAGTTTTGACATTGAACTATAATTAGGTAAGATGTAGCCAGTGGTGGAAACGGAATGAAGGTACTTGGGACCCTGTGTATAATCTTTGCTTTGCATCTTCCTAGTAACCTGTAATCATTTCAAAACAAAATGTCTTAGGCTGGAAATGTAGCTCAGTGGTAGAGTGGTGCCTAGCATATTCTAGGCCCTGGATTCAATCCTCAGTATTGCAAGCAAACAAACAAAAATTACAAGTTGAGTTGTCAGGTGATAGTTGAATACAGTGGACGTAGATCTGCAGTTCAGAAGAGTCTGGGCTGGAGGTACAAATTTGGGAGATACTGGCACATGGTTGGGTATCTAAAATTATGAGACTGGATGAGAGTGTGTCAGAGGGTTTGTTTGTTTGTTTGGTTGATCTTTTTCTTTTTTTCCAGAGCCTCATGAGGCTAGGCAAGCTCTCCACCACTGAGAGCTAGTTTGTTTTTAAGATGAGAAAAACAACAGCTTTTTATTTTTTTGAGACAGTCTCACCATATAGCCCAGGCTGGCCTCGGACTCAAGTCCTCCAGTCTCAGCCTCTTGGACTGTTTGATAGTAAAGAGCCAGTAGAGAGGAAAAGCTGATAGGGCAGAACAAAGAAACAGTGATTTTCAGGGTTCAGACTATGAATGGATTGCCTGGGTTTATGTGTGTACATATGTTATGTTATCTATGAATTTCACTTCAAGATAGTAAAGGGGACACACATTTGCTACAAAGGTCAGATCTGGTGATATGGTTGAGAACCTCAGTATGAGCAAGAGTCTTGCTAAACTGCACACATGAGAATTTTTACCTCATTCTGAAGTTGCAGTAGCTCCTGCTTACTAACAGTTGACCGGCCATAAGAATCCAGTTTAGCCTTGGCTGGACGCTCTGTATCTGTGAGGAGGAGACATGGGAACAGCAAAATGGAAGGATTGGAACAATGTTTCTATAACAAGGTATCCAACTCAGGATTCAAATAAGGTCCCAAATAAGCTGATACTTTCTTTCCCAGGGTTTTTGCCACTCACATGTCCACCAGATATGCAGAAGTCCATACAGATACCCGGGACGTAGAGAAATAGAGGACAGGGCATTTTTTCAGAGACTGTTACATTATTTGGGATAATCCAGTATCTAAACACTGTAGGATCCCAGAGTGTTCAACTGTGTGAAAGAGCATAGTGTCAGCTTACCCTAACC